TCTCTCTCTCTCTCTCTCTCTCTCTCTCTCTCTCTCTCTCTCTCTCTCTCTCTCTCTCTCTCTCTCTCTCTCTCTCTCTCTCTCTCTCTCTCTCTCTCTCTCTCTCTCTCTCTCTACTCTCTCTCTCTCTCTCTCTCTCTCTCTCTCTCTCTCTCTCTCTCTCTCTCTCCCCCCTCTCTGTAGAAATGAAATCATTAGTAACATTGATTAACTAGTTCCACGCCAACGAGAGTTGATTGACTCCTTCCATTATCTCTAACTGCAGAAACATTCGTGGTACGAAGAAGAGATCCTATTACTACTAGTAGTTCTCACATGATACGGCTGATAAACGTACCAACTAATTAATTATAAAAGTTTATTTATACTCTCTTCTTTCGCAATTATAAACATATAACTATTTATCATGTAACAAAATCATTAATTATTAAAATAATTTCTATTTTTGTACAACAAAAAATAATAAATATAAAAAAAGAATATAGTATTTCTCGCATTTCTAGTATTACATTAATATGTATAAGAAGTTTGTCGTTTTCTAATTATTCTATTTAATAATTTTCTATTTAATCCTATTTTCATTGAACACTTTGGAGAGTTTTTGAAAAGGGAACTATATATATACAAAAAATTAAAAAATTTATACGATGACTACTTCGATTAATAAAAAAAGTTTGATATCTAATTTTATTTAATTTTACAAACAATGCAATAAATTTTTTCTATCAATCTACGTATCCCGTAGTAACTTTTATAATCATAAGTACTCGTGACTGACCACTGGACAGTTTCACAGACTATGACGCATTCGTTGCGAGGGTGTCGACGTGAAATCATAATAATCTATTCATGAACTTTTGGGACTCATTCTGTCACGTGTCGCAACCTCGTCGCAACACCAGTCACATGTTCATGACAGTACATATGCTTCCGATCATGCACTATAGATGAAATAAAAACAAAAGTTTTTAGAAAATACTTTGTCGATTTTGACCACGCATACAAATTCGTAAAATCGCATTCTTATCTATGTACTCGTTTTAACAAAAATAAACTTTGACCCGCGCTCATATTTAAGGCCAAAAGTAATCATATGATTTTCAATACGTTTTAACAATACATCTTTGATTGGACAAATAAATCTCAAAATTAAAGGTTTACAAATTGAACCTTTTAGGTAAAATAATTTTTTATTCGACAAATAGGCATATGTGATTATTTTGCACTTGCGTGACAGTCATTGACGATTCGCAAAATTTCAACCCATATTTCATGGCGGTGGCAAGGTAGCGCGACGTATGCCGGAAGAGTTGCGTACTTACATACGTATGTTAAAATGAAACGCAACCTGGTGCGCGTTTTAACGCGCGGCGCATATTGTACTGACACATTCACCACCGTAAAGTTCGATCGATACGACAATACATAAAGAGCTACACTTCCTTTTGTAACATCGATTCCTCATCTCACAAACTCCAATTAATCATCTCTCATTATAAGTGTTTTTGCGATAAGAATAACATAGACTTTTATACAGCAGGATGCGCTTAACATGAATTGCAAAAAAATATTATCATGTATTCGTATGTTGCATAATCCCAAAAACGCTGCGGTCTACAAATCACTGCGACCAATGTTCATCGTTATATAATCATATCAAACTGTGCTGATGCAACGTTTTGATCAACATTAAAGTGAAATAAATAAAAAATCTCTCTCTATATATATAGTGTTTGATTTAATCTATCCACGCTAATATCTCGGAAATGCGTAGACTTGCACAAAAAATAAAAAAAACTTGGTGTTACTTGAAGACGATTTTCTGCGTGATGATATCATATCCTACCCTACTAGGTTTTGAAGGGTGAAAGAAGGTCAAATTTTCTAAATAAAAACCTTCGACAAATATAACACCAATCGATAAATCTCGGAAAGATGAATCCAATGTCCTATGATTTTATGGATTTATCTTGAATATTACGACAGCAATTAATTTTTAAAGATTGCCTCCGAGATTCGGAAGTATCGATTTCTATAAACGTTGATGAGCGCTCGGCACTTTTGTCAAAATAGTAGGGGAGGGTATGGTATCGTCACGCAGAAAATCGTCTTCAAGTAACCTTACTGAAAGGGCTTTTTTCATTTTTTGTCTAAGTCTACACATTTACAACATATTAACGTGAATAGATTTAATCGAACATTCTGTAATGTTATGTAATTCACATGCCTGTTTGTTACTTTGAATTTCTCGCGATCTTGTTTGGATACGATTAATTAATGTAGTTTTCGTAATAACATTTTAACGCTTTAGACTTTGAATGTTAATCATTGGACATTGGCCATGGATAATTTCCGCATATGAGAGACAGTTCTTTTCTGTATTCTCTCTAGATTTCGCATTAGAAATTGCGAAATGGTGTCAATAGTGTAACAACGTTAAGATTTGCAAGTTAATCGCGAATTACATTTTTGTTTAAATAAACAAAATTTATTGTGACGTGCTTGATAAAAATCGAAGTTGAATGTGTTTTGAAATATTATCGAGAAATCCAAAAGAACTTATTATGAAAACATTATTAAAAACGAGCATGCAACTAGATGATATTTTGCGCGCGATAAATTCAATATGCTGCATAGCCACTTTGCATAATCTTTCATAATTCTTACAATTTTTCCTTCAATAGATGATAACATGTGTGGTCGAGAAATATCATTAGATAATAGTTACAGATTAATTATTTCAAGGCCAGTTTTTCATTCTGTATATTCATAATAATTGATTTTACTAAAGCTTGTGAAACAATAATATAGAAATATTTTCTTTCAGATTTCTACAAAGAGATTTGTAGAATTAAAAGAATTAAAAACTCTCTCGCAAAGGGAATGTTAAAATTAAAACACAACATAGACTGAAGAATTATTTCTTCGAGATATCCTACATCTATTAAATGGATCCAATTTTTATATGATAAAATAAAAACAAAGATAGGAGTATCTCTTACGGAACCACATAATTACAAATATCCACGCATCGAAACGGAAATCTTGTTAATGATTGCAAATAAGTCGTTCATTTCTTATTACATATTTCTTCTCTTTGTGTTTATATCGATATATCGATATATCATAAATTTTACGCAACAGACTATATGATTTCTGTAAAGAAGATTTTACTATCCTTTTGCATGAAGTTTCTCAGAATGAACGGTATCGCATTCTCGACTTTGTCCTATCGGCAAAAAAATACAGACGCGTACATGGATTCCTTAACAATTCATTAAAAATCCACGGATTCTCCACGACGGATTTATCTATGGCTCATGGGACGAAGTAAGAGAGAGCTGAGAGAAAGAGAGAAAAAGCGATACAGTCTTATTGACCCACGAAGTGGCCATAGTCTACAAAAACTCGTTCAGATACAGACTCGATCGCTGTTCTCAGCGGGCTTTGTGACGAAAGAAATTCCACGGTGGAAAAATACGTTGGAATTTGTGTACGCGTTGAAACGACCTTCCAACACGACTATCAATTAGCATGAGGACCGCGAGTGACAGATTTAAAAGTCAATATTTTTATATGTCTCTTGTGTGAAATATGGTATTGCCTACGAGATATGCTATCGTGCGATGCGTAATAAATGAAGACACTTCAAGTCTGGGTCGCTATTGATATCGAAATGTAGATTTCTAGTTTGACATTTCCGCACCCCATTTGTCACTTCTGACTAATACAATTTTATATCTGAAATTATAGTCGATCGCAAAGTCCAATGTTAAACTATGAACATGCCGCATAATACATACGCTAATTTCACACGCTTTAATAAATAACAACAAGTAGCGATTGAGCAGGTTTAATGTTTCAATGAATAGCAAAAGTATTTGCATATTTCATTTCTTATCGCATAATTTTGGGCATAAAAAGATTTAAAAAATGCTGTTTTCTTTCTTATAAACAATTATTCTAAAAAGAAATTCTTATAAAAAATTATTCTAAAAAACAAGATGTACAAAAATTTGTTTAGTATTCAAAAATAAACCATTTTATAGATAAAATAATAATTTCTTAGCGTCGATGCTACAACTTTGTTCGCTTTAACTGCATTTCTTGCATTTAAAATGATATAGATACATTTTAGACTTTAGAGGAAGAAAAAACAAAAAAAATAAGTACTAAAAATACGGAAAAAAAGAATTTTGCTATCGCAACAAAATCATCGTTGCTATATTAGATAAGACAGCGAAAAAATTTTGCTATTAATTAATTTTAAATCTATTTTCGTAGCAGAATAGATATATTTTGCTGAATACATTTATTCGAACATATTAATTTGCTTTTGCAACAAAACAATTTATTTCTAACAAACGCATTTTGTTATTGCAGCGAAATTGTTGTTAATAATATAAATTTGCGATGACAAATAAAATTTCACGTTTGAACAGTTAAACACAAAATTACGAATTATATGAATTTATATTTACACTTTAGTCTTAAGCATAGGAAAGAGCTGTAAATATGTTTCTAGTTAAATTTTTGTATATAATTCAACGTAAATCTTTTAATTCTGTATTATTATACAACTCAAAAGAACTCTAAATCGTTTAGTGTTCATTATAAAGTTTATGATACACAAGTATCTATTTGGCTAATTGCATTTCATATTTATTTTTTATATGAAATCTTTCTTGATATAAATTTGGATATTTTCTTATGTACTTGGCGTATTTCTTTTTACCTTTGTAAAATCTTTTTATGTGATCTTACTGCTTTTTGTCGAAATTATAAAAGAAGTTAGAAATATTTAAATTCTTATGAAAAGATGGAATGTGAACAAAAAATATTAAAATATAATATAACACAATTACAATTTGTAACAATGCAGTTAACATGTATTGTTTTCATAAATAAAACATTTACATTTTTCTTTAACATTGCACATTGAATATTAATTGCATTATATTCGTTCTGCGAAAAATATGTATACATTTTAAAATTTCGAAATCAACTGCATTTCTCTGCTTTCAAATTATCTATTAAAATCCAATCTGTGCCTTTAACACGCACATCACATTTGTATAATGTTTATCAATTATATTTTTACCATGATGAAAAATTGCACTAATAACTTTATACATATATTCGTACTAATATCTTTGCCGCAGGTATAGCTTTAATATTTAAATTTGCAATTTTAATCAATTTTATATTAATAATTTTAAATAAGAATAATTGAAAGATAAAAATATCTCTTGTTACTGTTTAATCAGTTTTTTTTAAATATAGAATCAGTACCATTATTATATAAATTAATGCATTTTAACGTAAAAAATTATATTCTATTCGCTCTTGAAGATTAAGTAACTTTTTATATTTTTCAGATAATGGAAGCAATAAAATATAATTTGAATGAACTTGTACATTCGTATAATTGCATATTTTACATCTCGAGGTAGTACTTATTTGATGCTCAATTACATTTTTTATGCTATCTAAGTTCTTAATAAGATGTGTAATATTTTTTTGTAAGATAAATTATTATGAGTAATAAAACGTTTTAGTCACAATTTCGGGCCTTCTTCAGTTTAAAGCCAAATGGAAAGGAGAAAAAAAAAACGCGGATTCTGACTACAATATTAACATAAAGAATTAACGGCGTTCGTTATTATATGTATAAAAGGATGCAGACGTACTAAAAGGTTGTCGCATTCCAACAACCGTTCCTTCTTTTCTTCTACCTTTTTGTTTAGTTGTTAAACAGAAGAAGGCCCGAAATTGTGGCTGAAACATTATATTACCCACAATAATTAATAAGCTAATCCTTGCACCTCAACAATTACGCTTTGGTTCTCATTGCCATTTTAACATTGTTTAAAAACTGTTATAAATTAATAAAAAGTATGTTTTTAAAAAAGTAGTTATATAATTTCTGAAAATGCGTTACAATGTTATTTGTAAACTTTTTATTTGCCACTTTGACATCGTTTAAAAATTGTATTATAAGTTAATAAAAAATATATTAAAAGTAAATGTGTTATAAATTTAAAAAATTGTATTATAAATTAATAAAAAATGTATTATAAAAGAAATGATTTATTAAATTTCTAAAAATGTGTAAAAATGTTATTCATAAAATTTCTGACATATACAGAAAATTCACATACTCGTAATAATAAACACGTTCCAACATGTTCTTATACGTGAGCGGTGTGAACATATCTTCACAGACAAAAATCAATTTGTTGTTCATGTGCATGCGTTCATGATACTGAATCTTAAAATAAAGAAAAACTTCCACAAAAAATATTTCGAAATCTCAGAACTGACTGCACCTCGTTCAGACTGATCGCAATCGAAAGATCACCACACATTCCAGTGTGTTTATTTCCGGTGTATTTCTATATGATTGCTGAATCTACCAGATTCCGGTTGAATCTTCCAGAATCTTGCATTAATAGGAATTCTGGTAGATTCAACCAGAATCTGTCTTTCGTCCAAAATTGAACGGACGGTTTGTTGAATCAAACAGAACATTTTTCTCAGCGCATCAATACAATGTTTTCAAATTTTATTTAAGCAACGAGAATGGAAAATATGTTCAAGTCACGTAAAATGAGGGCATAGATCATATTGAACAATTTATTTTAGCAAGTTGTATTATATTATTTTTTGTTTGCCAGAGAGCAAATTATTTTTTTCGCGAGTGCATTTAAAACGAACAGAGTCTATGTTATTCTTTAACTTTCAGAACTCGATGATTCAATTCGACTGCTACCAGAATTAGATCGTTTTAAAAATTGCACAAATGGAAAGAAAAGACAATTTAAACGACTGATTCTGTTTCTATCGATTTTCTGGGATTCTCCCTAGAAAGTTAAAAGCCCTTCTTCGAGCAAAGTGTTTAACTCAAACACGACGAGTCTGCGTCTAATTTCTGCCCTCTCCCTACAAAGAGGAAATATCTAGTATCTAACATTTGAGCGAATGGAAATAGAAGAAGCTCGGGTCACTGCCAGGCACTGAATGGCACCAATCGATATATGCTCAACCTGGTTCGCCAAGATATTATTGCCGAATACTCGCTTGACTTCCGTATAAAGACTTTCTATATAACTGGAAATTGTCACGATGACTTAAACGCGCCGCGTGAACCGGCGACACGCTATAATTTGAATGCCAAAGAACTTCCACTTGTGAATGAATTCTGCTCTATCGTTTGACAAATTTTGCCTGCTCATTGTAAATCATATTTTCCGCTGAAGCATTCAAAGACCTGGTTATCAAAGTGTCGCTTTCATTGCTAGTTGTATGTCAAATAGTTTAACAAAGAAACTCTTTTTCTCCAACAACCATTCAAATTTATGGCGTTCTTTGTGATAAATATTGCGCGATGATTGGTGCAAAATTTATTTAATGTACACTACTGCTTACAGACACTACTGCTTTTTTCAACTCAATTAATATTTAGAATATCTGTAGAAGACCATTATTCACTGATTATTCTAAAACAATGCTGTCGAAGACGGCACGAAGGATGAACCTGTCCAAATGCGATTCTACGAGTAGATTTCTGACGTATGTAGTTTTGCGGCACGCTTCAGCGATTGTATGCAGTTACCATCACCCCATGAGAATTCTGCACCTGAACTAATAACTACCGCGAGATAAACCACACGTCCGTTTCGGCAAATGCAATGCATTAACACATTCCAACAATATATCTGTATATCCGAAACCAGCATTATTATCTTTTCATAAAAAAAGTTACTTAATTTATATTTTTAAAAATTATTTATTTACGATCTCATTCGGCAAGTGCGCGTAAAGAGTAAAAGCATGTCTATCTGAATATTATTTTACCACTACGCGTTCTACTCGAACATGGTATGAGCAAAATTAGATACAACGACAAATATTAAACAAGAAGAGTGTTTAGAACTTCTATTTTGCCAATTTGTTTCGTCTTCATATCGTGATAACGGTATATTTTGGTATCACGCAAAGACCGTCTTCATGCCATAATCAACAATCAAGCTGACCTATCATAACCATGAACGCCTTGTCAACGGTCACGGGTTCAACTATTATACTGATAAGAATCTACAAAAAAAAGAAGAAAAGAACTTGAATCAAACAGAACAGTGTTATTTGACCATTTAATTGGTTTTAATTTGCTTGCAAATTATCTTAAACAAAAAACAGATTATTCTTTGTGGACTAATTGAGATGATAAATATAAAAACATCTCACACATTGGAAATCAGAGAAAAATATCAATATCATAAAATTAAAAATACATTCTATATATAGAAAGTCCGATATAAAAATTCAAAATCAACATTTAGAAATGCTAAAAAATAAATTGTTTGAATACTATATACATATGGAATAAGTTTTATTTAAAAAGATAAGATAAGAGTTTATAATACAAATAAAATATTATATTGCTCAAATTAATTTAAATTATGTGTTGCAGCCAGTTTCGAAAGGAGCTTTTCAATTATCGGCACGAGGACAAATGGAAAGGCGGCGACCACCGTTTCTCAGAGCTTCCAGCAAAGCCAAAGAGGTAAAAAAATTAAACGCGTTATATAAACACACGTATCAATGATACTATATATAGAAACTAGTAAAATTTAAATTTTTTCGCATCTTGAAATACTCCATAATTTTATTTTAGGTATGTTTTTTGCAATATTGATATATTTTTTTAATAATTGATAATAATTGATATATTTTTCATCACATAAAAAAGTTTTTAACATAATTCCCCACACGGAACATAATATCCAATGGACGTCCATATAATCTCCATAACTCCATACCACATCTATCTCTATAATGGATATTAGATAAGTTTCTATTAGAAATCCATATTATTTCTATGATAAATGACGATATAAATCCATCATAAATGTCTATTAGACATCTGTTATCGATGTTTGATAGAAGTATCAGTATCCATAGTAACGAATATCGTTAGTGCATCGTCGATGTCAAACGTTTCGGCTGATCATTCAGCCATCTTCAGTGCTAACGTTACAAATCTGTTTAGTAGAAAGATTGTGGTTTCAATTTGTCATTAATAAAATTATTTGGAAGTAAAGTCACAAATGTGATTGCGAGGTAGTCTTGTTTATGTAGGTGTTAACAGAATGTCACCACCCATACAGCACAAAACATCCTCAGGATATCCTCAGGACATCGAGGATATTTCGGTGTCCCAAGGATGTTCTGAGGATATCGAGATCTCCCCAAGATGTCCTAAGGATATGTAGGATATTTTGTGCTGTATAGGCATGTTCTCGACTGTCTCATAGTCGTGACATTCTGTTAACATCTACATAAACAAGACTATCTCGCAATCATATTTGTGACTTTACTTCCAAATAATTTTATTAATGACGAATTGAAACTACATTCCATCAAAGCTCTATGAAATATCTATAGAACATCTATGATTGCTCCATATGATATCTATGAATATATTTAATGGATGTCGAATGGAGGTATGTAATACGGAATGTGGATGTCTAGTAGACATCTATAGGAGATTACATAGACATCTAATAGAGGTTTCGAATCTCCATGATGGACATCTAGTGGATATCCATTAGAGGTTTTTGTTCCGTGTGGGTCACGGCATAGACTTATATTTATCTTGTTATTCTATACTCAAGCACACAAAATATTTATATGTAATTAAATTTTACTGCTTTTACTATTATATAATTATAAGTCCCAACATTATTGTTATAAACATCGATATACTAAAAATGTATTCAAACGTTGATAACTGAATATATTGATGGAATAATATATCCGCATAATGTATACTTTTTGCAAGTTAAAATTATATTTTATATTAAACATTGAAATTAAGTTAAAATAAAATTCTACATTTGTATGCAAATTAAAAAATTTTATGTTCTAAAATATAATCCATCTACGCAATTTTCACACAGAAACAATTCGCTACGCCAATGAATGTGACGTTTCATTGCCATGGCAACTCATATGTAAATAAAAACAAAATCTTAACCTAAGTTTAAAGAGATGCACGATTTTCGATTTATTGTACTATCCTCTATATTTATTACATATTTGTATTATTTGTTGATGTAATATTTGTAATCTCTCTTCTTCTTAATAATAATAATAATTATTATTATTATTATTAATTTTGTAAAAATGTTTTAAAAGAATTATCATGTAATTATTGTGTAATTTTTCTTTAAGAATATATACAATAAAAGTTTATAATACAAATTATTTGTAAGAACTACGTTCTTTTGTGCATATATATTCTTGTTCTTTTCTTTTAAAGTAATATGTCAAATTGAAAAATAAATAAATGGAGCTTAATGTCATTATATAAATATAAAATATTTAATTAAATAAAGTTAAAACATGATCAAAGAGCTGTGAAGTATATTAGAAAATTATGCAAAATATATTATGCATTTATAGACCGAACGAGGAACTAAGATGGATACTACACGTAGTGGGGGTGCGGTAGAGGAACAAAATAGTGATGAAAGTTTGTCGCCAGATGCTTTAGTTAGACAAAATTATGAACTCCGTCATCGTCTGGAAGAGGAAGCCGCAAGTTATAAAAGACGTTTGGACACATATCGACAGGCTCAGCAACATCAAGCTGCTCTGGTCTCACGCTTACAAGCTAAGGCAAATATTGTATTTTAATAAATAAAAAACAATATATACATATTCCATAGAAAGTAAATTATAAGCTTATTGATGATCACCAATAATAATTAAACAATATTTCAGGTTTTGCAGTATAAACAGAGATGTTCAGAACTGGAGAATCAAATGGCAGAAACAGTTCCAATAGTTTGCGATACTACTAGACCAGCAACAGTGTCTTCTACTTCTGTGTTGGAAACTGCCCATCAAACACTTCGAGACATACGTGAGGAGCAAATACATGATTTGGACACAGCCTTGAAAAAACTTGGAGAGGAACGACGAAAGTACGTAGAAGTGCAAAAAAAAATTAGTATTTGACACCACTTAACTTAATAAATATATAGAATTGTGTTATATTTTAAACATACTTCTTTCCTGACGCAGATATGAAGAACTCTTGCAACTAAATGCAACTCTGAAAGATCAGCTGGAGGAATCTCATCAAACGAATGAAGCATTGACTAATGACTTGCAGAAGCTGAGTAACGATTGGGACGTTTTACGAGAAGAATTGGTTATCAAGGAAGACGAGTGGAAGGATGAGGAACAAGCATTCAATGAATATTACATCTCAGAGCATAACAGATTACTGAACCTATGGCGCGATGTTGTGTCCGTTAAGAGATTGTTTGCGGAAATGAAATCTGCTACGGAGAGAGATTTGTCTAAATTGCGGAACGAAATTATTTCGTCATCTAATGAAATGACATCGGCGTGCAATAGTACAAATTTTACTATGAAACTGCAAGCCACTACAGCGGCTCAATCGACAGTAAAACTATTATATAATTATGTTTTACTAATAGTTGTTTCCATTTCGTTATGTATATATATTTGGACTTTATTTTCAGCCGTCCCATAGAATGCAACAACAGGAGGAAGAACATGCTACGACTATCCTGAAAACAGAAATTGCGACACTCAAGCAGCAGCATGCTGCTGATCAACATGAAATACGTACGAAAGACGATCGGATAGATCAGCTTATTCGAGAAATCCGCAATTTAGTAAATATCTGTTTATCCTATTTTAAATTTAATTTTGACTGAATCAATATATATTTAAAACACAAATAATACATATAATGGAAAGGCTCATATATGATAACTATCAAATAATATAATAGAAAGGCATTGAGAGCCGTCGCGGGATGTTAGTGCGAAATTATTTAATTTTTCTTAGAGAAATTAATTTATTAGTCTACGTGAGACAGTTAAGTTGTACACCGATCTTTGGTTCGAGATACTTAAAGTGTACGAAAAGTTTAGTACATTGTTCTCACATATGGAGAATCATTATGTACTGATAGGAATTATTGGAAAGAAAGGAAGAGAGAGAAAAAATATCAATACATATTTTATATTTTCTGATTTATACAGGAAGAACGATGTAGCGTTTCCGAAGCCGTAGTGACACAAACTGAGCGAATGCAAGAAGATATCGAAGTGTTAGAGTCTGCATTGAGAGATATCGCGCATACTGTAATTCAAGACGCCGAATGTCGGGATACCGATGCCAAACAAACATCTACGCATATTCATTTATCATCCAGTGGACCAATTCCGCAAAGATCGCCGAAGAGAAGCGCGAGAAGTAGCACCATGCCAGCATTCGCTGAAAGCACTATAAGTGCAGTACGAGCAGCTCTACAAAAGTATCAATTAACTATACGCGAGTTACAGGTATAACGTGTACATATCTTGCGAGAAAAAAAATTGGCATTGTATACATTAGTTACTTACCAACTTTGCGTTATAGGTAAAATTGCAAACGAATAAGGAACAACTTTTGACAATGCGCAAGCAATGCGATACCACCGAAACAAACGCTCAGATGCTGAATACAAAAGTTACAGAACTGATTTCTCAGTTGGATTCATGTCATTCCCAATGTACACAGTTGAGTCAAGAGAAAGAGATGTTGCAGAAAGCTCTTGACACTGTAAAATTGGAAAAAAATGCTTTGGATAAGAATAAAGTAGAACTTAATAATACGGTAAGATGTTGATATAAATAAATTTTTTTACTTGATTATTGTTACATATAATAGTGTTAATTGATATATTTTAATATTTATAGATAGAGGCACTTAAAAGTAATTGCGAAAAACTTCAAAAGACAAATAATAAATTGCAAAAATTATGCGACAATCTGGAAGATGAAAAAATGTATTTGCAAAACGAACTTAGTAGAGTATCAGAGGATGTTGATTTAAAGTAAATAAGTTTACAGCTATGTTATATTATAATTTGTTTCAAAATTTCGTAATTTTACCTTTCAAAAAATTAATTTTCAGAGAATTAAGTTTAAGATCAGAGGAGGATAAATGTAGTAAAATGAGAGAGGAGCTCTTAACGCTGCGAGAAGATTTAAATAAAGCTTATCTTGCCAAAGATATGTTGGAACAGCACAAGTTGGAAACCGACGCATTAATCTCTCAAATCGAAAAAAACAAAGGTACGTGTTCTTTTTCACAGATATTTTTCAATAATTTATCAATATGATATCCAAAAGATGTTACGTGAACAAATTTTACATGAACAATTTAGGTGATCTCGAGTTGGAACTGGAACGAATATTATTGGAAAAGTCAGATATGCAGGAAATTTTAATAAAAATGGAAGCGATGTGCTCAAATCATGAACAAGATAAACAGAGATTACAAGAAGAATTAAAAAAGGTAAGGTCTAGTATCGTTAGCAATAATTTGTAGTTGATATTAAATACAGATTTTTCTTGTAGGTGGTAGATGAGAAAAACAAGCTGGCGAATCAATGTGTGGATCAGCAGGGAGATTTAAATTCATTGAGAAAAGAATTGTTGCAAGCGGAGCAAATTCGTCTTGACATAGAATCCGAAAAAGTTACGTTGAACGAAAAAATTAAATTCTTGGAAATAGAAAAGGAGAAGGTAGAAATAGAATTAGGTCAGGTGACTCGCGAACGCAATGATTTAAGTAACCAATTGTCCATATTGGCACGAAAAAAGGAAACATTAAATGAGGAACTTATGAGACTTAGGCAAAGGCTGGAACAGTCCAACGAAATGAACGCGCGAATAAATAGAAGCTTGAAAGATCTTGTAAAAGATAATGAGGAGAAACAAGTAAGAATGATTGTAACATGTTGACATATCACAGATGTTTCATACTCTTTGACATTATTGAAATGATAAGACAATTTATTATTTTCGTTTTTACAGGTGCTTTTAGAAACGAATGAGAAGGAATTTCAAAAACTGCAAGAACAACTTGCATCAATGCGCACGGAAAAAGAAATCTTGGAAGGAGTAGTGTTTGATACGCAAACTAATCTGGAAGCTACACATGTCAAGAAGACGCAGTTAGAGAAAGAGCAAAAAGAAATATTGGTAAAACAAGAAAGTTTGAAAGGACAGGTAACACGATTAACAAAAGAACTAGAAAACAGTGAAAAACATGCGCGAGATATCAAACAGTCGCTCACACAACAGAGTGGCGATCAAGTCGCAGAATTTCAACAAATTATATCCAATATGAAAAAACAATCTGAAGATAATACAAGAAAGATGAATGACGAAAAGGTACGTATTTAATTATTTATAGAAATTAAATTTTATTTATACTCTCTCTTTAAAACTATCTAACGCGGACATATGTTTCTGTTCTTTATCCATCTCTTTTTCTCTTCCCCTTACAAGGAGCAAGTAAGAATAAGTTTAGAAAAACGATTGCAACAGTCTTTATCACAACTGGAAGGAGAGAAAACGGAAGAAATCAATCATCTGCAACAGCGGATAGAAGAGATGCAGCAGCATATAGAAAATTTGTGCAAGCAACACGAAGAAGTGCTTCTTAGAGCAGAGAATGATAAACAGCAAGCACTTCTTATCGGTCAGTAATAAAATATGTTTGAGTTTTAATTTTTCTTTTTTCTTGTATTTTAATTAATTTTTAATATAATATTATATTAATTTCTTTCTATGATATTATTAGTAAACGATTATATTATTACTTAATCGATGATATCGATGAAAATATTTGAATTTGTTACAGCCCATCATGAGCAACAGGCTTTAATAGAAAAGATTGACACCATTATGCGTGAATTAGAAGAGGAAAAGAACATCTTGGAACGTGTTAAAAGGGAGGCTGCGGCACGCGCCGAGCAAGAACGTAACAATACGAATCAACTGCGCGATGAATTAAACCGTCTGAAAACAAGGCTAGACGAGACAAAGTTGAAAGCTAACGAAGAAAAGATGAAATTTGATTTAAAAATAGAGGAACTCTGGAAGGAACGAGAATCCACGCAAAGAGAAGTCGAAGAATTGCAAGTTCAACTACACATGACGGAGGACAAAGTAGACGGACTACAAAATCAACTACACGATACTGTTAGGAAACTTAAAGATGGTAAATCAACTTTCCTTTCAAATTTATTTAATATTACTCGTATTTCACAACTTATAATTACAGCTGACAATGTTAATGAAACACTGCGCAAAGAATTAGTGGACATAAGGAGACAATTGGCGGACACGACATACGAAAAGGAAAAATATAATAACAGTAACAAGGAATTACGGGAACATGTTAAGCAAATTGAGAGCGAGAGAAGAGAACAGGGTAGAACATTGGAAGAATCATATCAAAAGATATCCGGTAATTATTTCCTTTCATAGATATCGTACATTCGATCATTCAATTTTTAATCGTCTGTGTTTAGCATTGGAAGATGCCAAAGCGACCATGGACACTGAAAGAACGCGCTTACAAGCACAAATGCGCGACATGGAACGCGACGCGTTACAATTGCAACAACAACTCCGCTTCACACAGGACGAGTTGCAAAAGAGCCACGAAAACAACGCTCAAGCTCAAAACGAAGAGAAGGAACTGCAAGCTAGATTAGCTAACGAAATCGAAGAAAGAGAGCGAATACAATTGCAATTACATCAAGTGAAAAAACAGGTATAAAAATATACGTGATTTTTCGCTCGATCCAATCAATAAGAACCAAATTGTTGTCGCAGGTTGTCGATTTAGATAACAGTTTAGAAGTTACACGACAAGAACTGGGAAAACTACGCACACGAGCAGATGAAGAAGATGAGAGATGGCACGCCCGAGAACAAGAGTTGTTAGTGCGCCTCGAGGATGGCCGTTGTCGCGAGAGAAAATTGGAAGATCAGAAGCATAATTTAGAAGTTTGCTTGGCCGACGCCACGCAACAACTTCAGGAGCTGAAGGTGTGGAGAGAAAAAAGAACAAAGATATACAACAATGAAACTTTTGCATCGAGATTTCTATAGAATTAAAGGTACATATATTTATAATATTAGGCGCGTCTTGGGGGATCTGAAGGAAGGGTGAGAGCCCTCGATGCTCAATTGTCACAATTAGAGACTGCTAAGAAGGAAGTGGAGCAGAAACTCAGCAGCGTAGGCTCTACTTTACGCCGTATCGCCGGTATCCAAATGGATGGAAGCGTAAACATGCCGTTTAAATTGATGAGTCCTTCAAGAAGGTGGAGTCCAGCACGTGGTAACTGAATAAAATTTCTTATTTTGACTCGCAACAACAATATAAATGTGTATCACCGACATCGTGTATATAACATGCGAATATATATAACATATTTTAATCAAGCGCAAGATCACGGTGACACTAGCAGAGATATCGTACTGGATGTCGATCCTGAAGCTGTTAGAAAAGGAGTACGGTCACTTATGCAACAAGTTGCCCAAATCGAACGCGAGCGAGTATGTTTAACTCCAACAATTGTATAAGCACCGATATATTGCGACAAAATCTATGACGATTAATAATTGCAGGACGATTACAAAACAGAATTGTGTGGTTTGAAAAAGCAACTAAATGAATCACAAGAAAACCAAAATAACACAGATGTAAAAGTCAACAATCTTTTGACTAATATTCGAACACTTCAAGAAGAGAAGAAATCTTTGGAAGCAAAACTCATTCAAAAACAAACTAGCTATCAAGCACAGGTATGCCTTTTTTATACCTATATGTCGTATGTGTATATGTTATCAATAAAACAAATATTTATTTATTTTTAGTCGGACGCATTCCAAAAAAAGACAGAAGAATGTGACCAATTATGTGAAAAACTTACAACCTTGGAATTAAAGATGAATAGCGAGTCGGAAGAGAAATCTCAATACGAGGTACAATCTAGAAAAAATTTTTATATCTTTGTATATCTGTCAGTGTATATAGCTTTGATTTATTTAGGATAAATTAGAAAAAATGAAACAAGAATTAAATAGATTGGAAACGGAAAAGCGTAATCTTCAGAAAGAAATTCGTCATAGCGAATCTCACGCAACAGAAATGGAATTACAGAGGATGTCTTTAGACGGAGATTTGCAAAGATTGCAAATGATGTTGCAGGAAAAAGAAGCACACATTCAAGTAAGATGGAATCACTTGCAATAAGCTGCTATATTTATATTTTAAATTTGTATTTTATAATCTAATATTATTATTCTCTTATTAGAAATTGCAAGATCGCTTTGATACGCAAAGCCGTACTATGACAAGTTTAGAGGAACGCTGTGGGTCTTTAAAATCTACCATAGAACAATTAAAACTAGCATTAGAAAAAGCATCCGTTACAGAAAGTGAACTCAAAGACGAGATAAATTTAATGCGACTTAATGTAATGGAGATTACTACTTCCTCTGAAAGTAACAACGAGAAACTTAAACAGGTAAAAGATCATTGTTAATGGAAACACATTTTGTACATTTTGAATTGAGATATATTGTATTTCAGCTGCAGAAACAACTTTCGAATACTGAAAATGAGCGTAGAATATTATCTGAACGTTTGGAAACGGTCCAACAAACTTTGTATGATTTGAAACATACAAATCAATCGTTAATCGATCAAAACGCACGGCTGCAGAATGAGTTAGCTAATAATGAAGTGCAGCGATCGGCTTTAGAATCGCAATTAAGATTGTCTACCTGGCCGCCGGAAAGCGCTTCGATCAAAGATGAAGAGTTGTTGCGCCAATTGCAAACTGCTCAAAGAGAAAGAAGCGAGATGAGAGGAAAAATAGATGCTCTTAATGACAAGGTAAGTGTGTACAATTATGCTCTGTACAAGGAAAGAGTCCAGAAATGCTGCAGGCTTTAAATTATATACATTTTTCATATTTGTGAAATCTTTCAAGGTAAAGCTGTTAGAAGCTGACAAACGTAATTTAGAGCGTCAAATTGCGTCGAGCAAATCCAATATTATCCGAAGTAAGAGTTACGAACGTCCGGAGAAAGCACATATAGAACTTCTGGGCACTAGTTACAGCCTTGACAACTTGGAACATGAGAATAGAGAATTAAGATTGAAAGTGCGCAAATTGGAGACTCAATTGGCAGAGAAAGAAGCCGATCTTATACGAATCAAATCAACCTATATCCATTCCTCTCATTCGTTATTGGATGCAAGTAGAGATAGAAGCGGTGAATTAGAACGGATCAGAGCCGCACAGTTGCAAGCTGAAAAATTATTAGAAGCAAGAGAACAAAGTCATCGTCAGCAAGTATCGCGTTTAGAAAATCAGGTACTTTAATAACCTTTATGATAAAAATGTGCCATGCATCTGCATGATATATCTATAGCATATTGGTTCAATCTATATAAATAAAATGTACATTTGCAGATACAATTGTTACGAGAGCAACTTAATCAGGAGATAAAGCGCAGGCAACTATACGTTTTACGGAGTACGCGAGCCGGTAGAGAAATGCAACAGTTGCGACAAGCATTGGGCGATTCTTTAAGAACTGTAGCGCAAGATCCATCACTTGATGCGGTATTATTAGAACACGAAGCGCGTAAATTAGACTCTACCTTAACGAGTACTACCAGTTTACCGCCATCATTAGCTTTGCCTGCTCCACCATCATATAGATCTAGCACTCCATCACAATTCAAATAATGCAAATAATGCAAGTGACTGAATTTTCTTTGAAAACTGCCAGTATCAAGTAGTACCTATATAAGTATTTATAAATTACATTTCTGGAGAATATAAAGTGCAACAATTCTTGCGTACATAAAAAAATTCTTTAGTACGCGCTTAAGCATTGCATATTTAAATTGTCACTAAAAAAAACGTATAAGCTCATTAATCTACCGTAATAAACTATGAATTAACAGCGCTTCTTGATATTTTACGATTAAGACGATTGCCGATCTTTTGATGATAATATTTTATTTGATATATGATCTATACATTGGACATATTAAATTTTTATCAAATTTTTTTATACGAATTTTATGCTTCCAATGTCTAATGTTATATGCGATTCAAATATACTTTATATAGCTTATTAATGCATGAGATATATGGAAGTTTTTATAATGTGTGCATTTTACAAGAATATTTAGCTGAATCAATTAGTAATATTTGAAATTTTGATTTTATTACATCAATTTTTATTTACTGGGTTTAAAGAAAACTAATTTAACTATTCAACAATTAATGCACATAAAAATCTCATTATATGATCTTATAATATTTGTTTATTAAAGCACATATTAATATAAATATTATTATTTAACTTTTAAGGAAAAATATTGACATAAATTGAATACATGCTAGTCCATATTTTCCATCAATTTAAAATGAATTTATTTATTTTAGAGATATATAATAATACATTACTTCGTACGTGACATAAATAAACGTTAATTAAAGATATATTGGAGAATTGAAGCATGTATGCTTGTGAGTTGTGTAACGAAACGTATTTATAAAGTAGGCGGCAACAGTAAGAAAATAATGCTATGTTTAGTCTCGTTCTGAGACCAAAGAAAATCAGCAAACAAGAGCATTGTAGAGACACACTTCCGATTATAAGATAGATGCAAAGCCACTGAACCATTTACTAACACAAAGTGTAGAGAACGGTATGTCGTAATAGAGAAGAGGATTAAAAGTACAGACATAGGTGACAAGAGTGGACTGTGTCTGTTCTTTTCGATTAAGAATATAGACATCCAGTCCTGCACTATATGTAATCTGCCTTGAGCCGTCTGGCTTACGATACAGGATAATCGAAAGTATTAAAGAAATATTGTTTATGCTGCATACTTCTACAATGCAAAGTTTTATGATAAAAGAAATTTTAATGTCAAAAAGTAATTATTAAGAATTTTAAGTTATTTTAATTATTTAGTCAACTATAGCTAAGAAAAATCAATTTTTTTTTAAATTTGTATTTCTAATATCAGCTATTAATTATTCATGAGCTAAGCGTTGTCGCTAATATATTCTAACTTTGTGAGTGCATTTTAGAGCTGTTTTATTAAAATATTAAAATTATTAATAATTTATAAAAAGCTTTTAGGCCCTTTTGAAATTATATAGGAAAATTATATATATTGTATTTTCGTGTTGAATTGTATAATTTATATTCACGTTCATACGTTTTTAGAAATGTATGTATGTATAAACATCACAAATCGTAACAAAAATACTATTGTTATACTTATGTTATTGAGTTATATGTATATTTGAAATTAAATATCACTCATCATCTCTATCACATTTCAATTGTATTTCGCTTTCACAACTTTACTATGTCATTTTCTTCCTTTTTAAGAAGTCTTTGTTATAAAAAATATCGTCGCCTTTATGTCAAAACCACGAATTTGTAGTAGTAGAGTTATTGCTATTTGAATATTTAATTTGCTCCGAAAAATCAGATACTAGTTTTATTCTTGTAATTTCTTTAGATTATTCAAGCACTGATTTATTATTGCTATCGTATCTCTGGTATTCGCGTCTCTGGCATAAAATTTTTGTCCAAAATTGGATAGGAAAATGACATCAGTAAAAAATCGAAAAATTGGTACATTCATGGTTTTGGTATAAATAGGACGATATAATAATACCAATCTGTGCAAACAAAACAAAATAATGATACGCGATAATAATGATAGAGGCACAAAATAATACGCGTACGTAGTATAGATAAAATTAAAATCGGAATAAGGTTCTTTAATAGTGTTTTCGAATGAACGAATTTTTATCCATCCTAGATCAATAAATCACTACTTTATTATGAATTCAAATCTTTGGCGAAGACGATGCAATGATGTCATTAATTAATCTTGAGTCGATCAAAACCTGTTCACTTAAAAACGCTATAAGAAATTCTTTAATTTAATTTTATAATAAAACTTTAATTTTATAATAAAATTATTAGTCTACACATATACACACGTAGGGATTATATTGATCGCTTTTTAGCAAAGAGACACAAATAGACACAGTGTCCAATACCAGAGAGTGGTGTAAAGTTACTTGTTGGAACATTATTTAATTCTCACAAGCAAAAGTATTTTGGTCAAAAATCCAAATTCAAATTTCTATGCCATATTGTTAAGCCTTTTAAAGTATATCTATGAGAAATATTAGTAAAATGTTTCTCATAGATATACTTTAAAAGGCTTAACAATACCCATACAGCACAGAACATTGCAATTACATTGCAATTACATTGCAGCAATGTTACAATCTTGCAAGTTGCAATGTAATATTGTTGAGACATTATTGCAACCTGTAATTGTAATATTTCATGAGAATGTGACAGCAACATTCCAACAACATTGCAATAGCAATATTTGGTAATCGCTAGTTCGTTCGTTTACCGCTATGCGACGCGCGTTGCAAAATCTATCTCGTATTTAAATTTTAGTCATGATGATTATATGAAACTTGCAAAGAGTGGCTAGTAAGATTGTTGGCGCCGGAACAGGCGCGACATCTTCCGAGACGGGCGTGCAGCAGGACGGGGCGAGACAGGGCGAGTTAGACGCAGAGTAGGGCAGAGAGAGAGAGAGAGTCAACTCGTTGTGCAATCACGGGCTTATCTTGTAGAGACGAAATAAAGTATCTTATAGAAATACGCAGCATTCAGTCGGAGAACCTTTCCTCCTTAAGTACAACATAATTGGCGACGAGGATACGGCACCAGGTTCGGCATTAAGACACGAAATCCATACAACGTTCAACGGACAAAATGGATACCTTGTTCACGGAATTTCTTAAAGCGCAACAAGAGCAGTCTCGGTTGCTACAACAACAGTTTTTACAATCGCAACAACAATTTTTAGAGCACATGGTACGACGCCTTCCACCGAGTTCCACAAAAGTTGAGGGCTCAGGTAACAATGGCAATACAACAGATTGCAAGGACGAGTTTCTTATGAAGGCTCTGGGTAAGAATATTCGAGAATTGTTACGTGCCGCAACTTATAGTTTCTTATATTACTCTTTTTTTATTCGAACCTTTGAACCTTTTTTATCTTTACTCCTTGATCCTAAACACATGACCCTTCGATGACTGCAATAAACATAAACGCTGTCCCTATGCCTAACGCATATTTTCCTTTTGACAAAACCGCTTCCTTCCAATAAACATTCCGCCGCTACGATTTTCCTACAGCACCTTAAACGAAGATCATTCTCGCCAGTTCAGTTCTCGATCAAAGCTCAAACCAGCAACACCGAATAAAGACTTTTTCCACAAACGTGTCCCGACTTATTCTAAATAATCTATTACGTAGCTATACGCTCGTAACAATTGGTGGCAGCGGTGGGATTGTTTGTGTGTAAAAGTGCGGAAATTTTTACTATAATTGAGCTGATTGCTGTTAGTTAATATTAAGTGAAAGAAAGTTAGAGACCCGGAATTCGAGAAAACTTCGTAGTCAAGCAAGACTATCAAGTAGAAGAACCGAGGTCAATCATAACTTGGTGCTATCCTGACGAAATTAACGGGAGCACATTTCGATCAACCTGCTGAGATCCTGTCTGTTAGCCGATAAAACCACGACGCGTAGTTTACAACCTACCCCGAGGAAAAAGGCATCAGGACGCTCCTGGACGAGCACAGCAGCTAACGAAGGAAAAGGACAGCAACAACGAGACTCCGTGGACGGCCAGCACGAAAAAAGGTCAACCCTCATCATCATCTCATTAATGTCATCATCATCAATTCATCTATATCTACTATCGGCGTGAAACCATCTCGTCATAGATATGCTGCGCATCGTACTTCTGTAAGTCTATGAATTTTGTAAACTTTAGAGACACTAAAGCGCATTATAATACAGACAGTTCGGAAAGTAGTTCGTCGATTAGTTATATTAGCGATAATAATTCTAAACATAATCACGTAATCTCAAATCTAGAAACAATCAATATGAACGATCGAACAGAAACGGTAGAGTCAGCGCAAGGCGTAGATCATTTTGGCACAAATCTAGAAAGTCGAAGATCCTCGACGAGTAACAGTAGCTATTTTCCCGTCCGTAATAGTTTATCGCTCATACCTGTTTTAATGGAAAAAATATTCCAGTGACGCAATTTACAGCAGATTGTAAAGGAGTTAATGACTTAGTCGAGCCAGACGATAGGTTATTTTTCTTTAGATCGGTCTTACAAGTTAAATTAACGGGAGATGCCGCGTTAGTGAGAACAATCTATACAATAAATAATCTTGATGATTTATGCAAAGCATTAGAAAAAGGAATTCGGAAATTCCAAAAGTTTTGACCATTGGGAAGTGGAAATTAATAAACTTCAGCAAAAAAGAAATGAATCCATTGAAGATTATGCTACTAGAACCAGAAAATTAAACTCTGAAATGATCCTTGCAATTTCTAATTACCCCGATCCAACAGCAAGAGCAGGACTAAGAATCTTTGCAATGAATAAATTAATTACTCATTTCTTAGGCGGATTACACAATCAAACGGCACAACTTCTTTTATCACAAAAATTTAACACGTTAGAAGACGCAACAGAAAGTGCAACTAGGTACATTACAACATCTAATTATCATTCAGAAAGATTTAGACAAAATAGATTCAACGATACATCGCGAATAACTTGTAATTACTGCAGGAAAATAGGACACACAGAAAACGAATGTAGGAAAAAACGTTACGATTGTTGTGTGTCGAAAGACCACAACGTAATAATTATAGGTTAATTAGGCAATAACAATAATAAACATTTAGAAGGCCATTAATCGAGGCCACTTCTCGAGAATCCTGTGACAAAAGTTATTTAATTATTAAACAATTAGGCGCTGACGCGAGCACTCGTTCTTAGAAGCCCGAGTGTCACTTGCGTCTAAAGTAGGTTAAACAGATCAGCATTTTGGTAACACAATGGATCGATATAGTTCAAGTCTCATTGTGTTCCGAATACTGATTCGTATAAATTAAGGCGGCACACAAGGCGCCGCGGGTTTTTATCAGCAAAGTTCCGGACGAAGCACGACACGTCGCGTACACGCGTAACCACGGTAGTACGGTCGCCGAATAAGTGAGGTGACAAGTGTAATAAGAAGATACCAAATAAAAGCTATTTATATATATATT